ACATGTAAAATGCCCTTGAAGATGGAAAATACATGTAAAACAATGTGATACAGTGTTTATGGATATGACAGGCATTCTGCATACAGTAACAAACTGTTAAAAAAAAAAAACAAACACCTCTCAGGAGGAAGGAGGAAATCTTGGAAGAAGCATTTCAAAACGTGTGTGTGTGTGTGTGTGTGTGTGTGTGTGTGTGTAGAACCTCATACATGCTATGGACAGTGTACGACTGAGCTACACTCCTAGGCCCTCAGGTAGAAATTTTTAAGAAAAGATATAAAGTAAAGGAATAGAACCCTTTCCTCAAGAGTAGATCTGTCTGTGACCTTTCACATCCTTGTGGATCTTCTCAGCCAGTCTATGCAAGTACAGAACAAATACTCTTGGCTAATGTTTCAGAATGCAGCTCATAGTGCTCCTCCTGGCTGGCTCACAGAGTCTGTAACCCCTTCAGGGGATCCAACTCCCTCTCTGGCCTCCACAGGCACCCACACACATACAAACATTTTTTTTCTTTTATTAGTTTATTTTTACAGTACCAGAGATCAAACCTATCAGCTCTAGGGTCTAGATCTCGGCAAGCATTGTATCACTGAGCTATGCCTTTGAGTTTTCTCCTATAAGTTTTTGTTATTTGTTTATATGACTATTTTCTGACACATACCATTGATGGTTTTGTAGTGAGCCAGTCAATCAGGATATCCTTAATATTTAAGGTATGGAGAACCTGCATGGTTTGTAAGAAGATTTTTCCAAAAAAATGTTTGTGAGTTGTCATGTACGTATGTAGAATGAGTGGGATCCTGGGTTCAAATCCTTTTATGAAAGTAACAATTACAATACAGAGCTGGAGTGATTGCTCTGTGGTTAGGAACACAGGACTCCAGGTGGGTTCAATTCCCAGGACCTACATGAACGCTTACAATCATCTGTAACTCCAGTTTCAAAGGACCCATTGCCCTATTATGGCCTCTATGGGTAGCAGGTGCACATATGGCATACAGATATACATACAGGTAAAATATTGTGGTGGTTTGAATATGCTTGGCTCATAGGAAGTGGCGCTATTGGGAGGTGTGGCCTTGTTGAAGAAAGTGTGTCACTATGTAGGCTGGCTTTGAGAGCTTCTAATGTTCAAGCTCCTCCTGGCTGCCTTTGGATCAAGATGTAGAACTCTCCACGCTCTTCCAGTACCACGTCTGCCTGCACGATGCCATGCTTCCCACCGTGATGATAATGAACTAAACTTCTAAAACTGTAAGCCAGCTCCAGTGAAATGTTTTCCTTTATAAGAGTTGCTTTGGTCATGGTATCTCTTCACAGCAATAAAACCCTAAGACAAATGCCTATACCCATAAACTAAGTAAAACAGTTTTTTAAAAATTAAAAAGAGTAATAAATATTTGTGCATTATATCAATACCAATTTCTTAATTCTCACTTCTTTTCATTTATTTGAGTGTGTTCCAAGGTTCGAGTGTAGAGATCAGAGGACAGCATTCAGGAGTTCATTCTTTCCTTCTACCATGTGGATTCCAGGGATGAAGCTCAAGTCTTCAGGCTGGGCAGCAGGTGCCTTTGCACACTGAGCCATCTCACATGCTCTACATTATTTTTCTTGAGATGAGATCCTGATTCATTGTTCGTGCTGGCCTCTAATTTCTGGGCATGGACCTCCTGTCTCAGCCAACCCAGCAGCTAAGACTAAAGATAACACCTCACAAAACTTGTTTGTTGATTTTGATGCTGTACTACAGTTGTGGAAGAGGCCACTGGTGGGTAAACTGGACAAAGGCATTCAGAACTCTGTTTGGGGCAGGAGAGATGGCTCAGGAGCTAAGAGTGTATATAACTCTTCCAGACGACAGAGTTCAGTTCCCAGGACCTGCATTAAGTGGCTCACAACAAAAACAATTTCAGCTTCAAGGATCCAATGCTGATAGATTCCTCCAGCACCCACACCCACATTCACACACTGAAACACACACACTGAAACACACACACACGAATATCTTTTTTTAAAGTCTGCTCTTTGAAACTACATCTGTGAGGTTTGTTTTCTTTTCTTTTTTAAGGATGAGACTTAGTAGCTCCAGGTGGCCTTGAATCGATCCCCCACCTTCATCTGCCAAGTGATGGGACTGTAGGCAGCCATCGTCATCAGCCCCAGCTTCTGTTTCTTGAAAATAAAATGTCTGTATGTGGTACTTCCCTAACTTGAGGGCTCAACGTTGACCTCAAACTATGAGGCTTAATACGGTGTCTCTCATGATGACCAATACAGACCCACCTACTTATAAGACAGTGGACTGGGAGGAGTGTGTGTGGTTAAGAGGTAGTATGGTGTAAAAGCAAGGGGTCACCGTGTGTGAGGGCCTAGATCCAACTGCAGCACCCAAAGAAAAAGGTGTATTTGGGGGACATGAAAAAGGGTGAATCTTTGGGGACCAACTCCTTTAATGCTGTCTCAGTCAGGGTTTCTATTCCTACACAAACATCATGACCAAGAAGCAAGTTGGGAAGGAAAGGGTTTATTCGGTTTACACTTCCACATTGCTGTTCATCACCAAAGGAAGTCAGGACTGGAACTCAAGCAGGTCAGGAAGCAGGAGCTGATGCAGAAGCCATGGAGGGATGCTGCTTACTAGATTTCTTCCCCTAGCTTGCTCAGCTTGCTTTCTTATAGAACCCAAGACTACCAGCTCAGGGATGGCACCACCCACAATAGGCCCTCCCACCCTTGGTCACTAATTGAGAAAAATGCCTTACAGCTGAATCTCATGGAGGCATTTCCTCAAGGGAGGCTCCTTTCTCTGCGATAACTCCAGCTTGTGTCAAGCTGACACACAAACCCAGCCAGTACACATGCCATATTCCTCCCTCCCTTCCTTCCTGTCTGTCTTCCTTTCTTCTTTTTTTGTCTGAAACAGGGGCTTACTATGTAGCCCTGGCTGTCCTGGAATTCACAATGTAGACCACACTGACCTCAAACTCAAAGAAATCCTCCTGCCTCTGCCTCCCAAACGCTGGGATTAAATTCGTGCACCACTACACCTGGATTTAATGCCATATTCTTACTTAGCATTCAGAAGCCATGAGACTAAAACTTAAAACTTCTGTGTTTCTGTATTTGTGATATTCCATTCAGCAACTATGCATTGGCTTTATCTTAATACTAATAAGAATACAGAATCCTTTGAAGAGGCCCTTTACAATCGCCTTCCCCTCTCCCATCCCTCTTTGAATATCTCCTATTTAAGTCCTGTTGTTCCAGCTGCTGGGATCTCTAGAGGTATCCTAGCAAGCCTTTTCATAGTTTTCTGTCAGGCTGGTCTGGCCTCAAACCCTTGTCTCAGCCTCCCAAGTGCTGGCTGGGGTTAGAAATGCTGCCATACCTGACAAATGTACTCATTTTCCAAGAATGTTAAAATCCCCCCCCCCCCCCGTGTTGAGAAATACTCCTGGATCCCTCAACTTTCCCTTCCCAGCCCCCAACACCCTTCAACAGGAAAAATTAATGGCTTAGGGATCCAGTCATATCTTCATCAAAACCTTATCTCAATTTGGGTATGGTGGTGCTAGCCTGTAATCCCAATACTTGGGAGGCAGAGACAGGAGGTTTACAAGTTCAAAGAAAAGAAATAGATGGAGTCCCAGGCAAGTCTGGATTACATAACAAGACACTGTCTTAATACCACTACCACCACACAAACAATTACCCATTTACCTCTGGGCTGGAGAGTTGGCTCAGATGCTAAGAGCACTGGCTGCTCTGCCAGAGGACCCAGGTTTGATTTCCACCATTCAGTTGGCAGATCACAAACATCTGTGTTTCAGGGAATCTGCCTACTCTTCTGGCCTTCCTAAGGGCATCAGGCACAACAATATACAGACATACATGTAGGCAAAACACCCATACACATAGAATTATGTCACTAAAGTGTCGTTATTTCTATTATTTATTTAAATACCTATTCCCATTGGACTGATTGGCCTCTTAGGGAACATAGATTTTTGTGACTCTCATCTTTGAATTGTCAGTCTGTAACAATGTCATGGTGAATGTATTCAGTGAGTATCCAGTGAAGGAAGCAGTTGGAGTAAAGACAGGCCGCTACGCAGCCCCCTCTTCTGTAGTCTGGATCTAGTCCACCTTAGGTCAGAGCGGGCATTCTATAGGAAGCCAAGGCAGTTGGCAATTCTGCTGGTAGAGTCTGTCCCCCCTGTTAAATTCTCTCCGACTGTGTATAGTTTCCTTACCCTTTAAAAAAAAAGTCATTGATGTTTTGCCCGCATGGATGTCTGTATGAGGGTGCCAGATCCCCTGAAAGTGACAGATAGTTGTGAGGTGCCACGTGAGTGCTGGAAACTGAACCCGGGTCCCCTGGAAGAGCAGCAAGTGCTCTTATCAGTTGAGCCATCTGTCCAGTTTCCTTATCTTTTACTCGAACATAAAAGCATCTCCTCACTGGGTTGTTAGGAAGATGGCAACAGATACTTCATGAAAACCTCTTAGCACAGTCCCTGGCAGAGGACAGAACGTGTTCCTTGGGTTGGCTGTCACGTGTCTACGGCTTAGAATGGCTGCGACGTTGGTATTCCGGACACAAGACTCAGTGGTGTACCCTGGCTTCCCATCTCACGAGAGATGCCTGCGGGCCACAGCTCAGCAGAAGCAGAAGTGTTGGAATCCGTGGCGAGCAACAGTCCTCTGAGCTCTCTGTCGCGTGGCTGACAATGATATTGAATCCGATCGTTGCCAACTATAACGAGCCCGTTCAAAACTCACCTGCCGGAGTTCCTGGGAGGCCCACGCGACTAGGCTTACACCAAGAGGCTGGCTGCGAAGACACAGGTGCCTCGGCCGACACAGACGCCCGGGCCGGAGAGTTAAAGCCCGGCGCGCAGGGGTGGAGGCGCCAGACTCTCCAGGCATGCGCGCTGTGCCAGTGGCGTGGCCCGTCAGGCACTGCGGTAGGCACCCTCGGGTCCCGCAGGACCCTGTCCCCAGCATGGCGGCGCCCAGCGAAGTGGCCGCGGCAGTCGCCGGTGAAGGCGATGGCGGGGGTTTTGGATCCTGGCTTGACGGACGGTTGGAGGCGCTGGGAGTGGACCGAGCCGTTTACGCCGCTTACATCCTTGGCGTCCTACAGGAGGAGGAGGAAGAAGAGAAGCTGGACGCCCTGCAGGGTATCCTCTCTGCTTTCCTGGTGAGTAGTCAGGACACATTCTATCAACCTCACGGAAAAATCTGGGAACATCTTTCATTACTTCACATCTCTCTTCTTCCTTTGCTGTCATGAAGGCTTAGTGGTTTCGCCGGGAAGAAGCATAACTCTGAGGGAGAAGTGGGCTGCTGCTTCCTAGCCAGATTTTGGGTTGCAGGTGCATAGAGATGATGGGATTCCCGTATTCCGGGCAATAAGGCTCCCTGGGGTGCCTTTGGGTGTGCTAGAGAGTGTCTTGAAGCCACTGAGACGTGTAAATGGCAGTTTGATCCTAAACGTCTAATAGTTGCATCTCCATGGGTTGCGATGTTCAGAGAGGGGAATAACATGTTTTTGAGATGTCTGCCCATTAGGGGGTAGTCTCAGGGTTGTCCCATGACAAAAGCCTGTGGGAAGTTCCCTCTTGGCTCCAATTTCAGTAATTAGAGTCCTCAATAGGTAAGGTAGTGGAGATCTTTTCATGATAAACAACATTGGGAAATTCAGTAATTATTAATCTGTGTGTTGGGTGGGGCGGTACCCTGTGATGAGACGGACTGGAAACAGATGAGGTATTTGCCTGGAATGGTGGCTGGTGGACGCCTTTAATCCCATCACTCAGGAGGCAGATGCAGGCAGATCTCTGTGATCAAGAGAGGCCAGTCTGGTCTACACAGAGAAACCCTGTCTCAAAAACGAACACAACCAAAAAGAAACAGGCTCGTGGATGGGCACAAGCCTTTAATTGCAGCTCTCAGAAGGCAGATACAGGCGTGTGGATCTTTGTGATCTATGTAGTGAGTTCTTGGACAGCCGGGGCACTGAGAAACCCTGTCTCAAATACTCAAAAGCAGATTTGTCACAGCGTACCATGATGTGTGTTTGTAATTCCAGCCCTGTGAAAGACAGCAAGTGGGAGGCCAGCTTTGGGCTTGCCAAGTAAGACTCTGGCAAAGCAAAACAGGAGATTCACTAATTTAGAAATTCGTAATTTAAAGATGAATTTATGTATCAGATGACCAAGATGTCCACTTTTCTAATCTGATCGTCTGGAGTTCATCCCTCTTTTTCCACTCCCAACAGAAAGAGTTGGATTATATGCATAGATTAGACTCCCTACCTCTCTTGTCTGGGACTGTTCTGTAGAGTCTTCCTTTCTTAACATAGTCGAGTTGGGGGCTGGAAAGATGGCTCAGTAATTCTAGCTTCAGGAGACTGGACAACCTGTTCTGACTTCCATGGGTAACAGGCACACATGTGGTGTACAGGCATACACGCAGCCAAAACACCCATACACATAAGTGCAGATCTAATAAATGAATAAATACAGTCAGCTCAAAAGTAAAATTGGCTGCATCTGGACTAAATACCATAGAAACCTTTATCCTCACACATGGTTTAGGGATCTCTTGAAAACCAAACTGCTAATGTGAGAGTCAGCTGCCCATCAAAGTCTTGGGTCTTTGATGTTTATCACAATGAGCAGGTTTGGCGAATGGGTTTATCTATTGTCCTTAAAGTCAATATTCAAGGACAGTAAGACGCCTCAAAAGGTGTGGTGAGCATAGACATAAATATGCATGCACATTCTTTTCCTTTAAGATTTATTTTATGTTTATGAATATACTGCAGCTGTCTTCAGACACATCAGAAGAGGGCATCAGATCCCATTACAGATGGTTGTGAGCCACCATGTGTGATGCTGGGAATTGAACTCGGGACCTCTGGAAGAGCAGTCAGTTAAGAGCTGAACCAACTCTCTAGCTCTTGGATATATGTTCTTTATGTAAATAAATAGAAGGATTTTTTTTCCCCAAATTCAACAGTAATTTTTGGGTATAAGCCACATCCAGGAGACACTCACACTGAAGTTCAGTTCGTGAAGAACATGCTGGAAATACAACACACGGACACAGCTGTCCCTAATCCCACCAGCAAGAACCTCTTGGTCTATAAATGAAAAAGAGCCAACACAGCCTGTGAGGAGCTTGGGGGTTCAGTGGGAATAACATAACAAGTTCTTTCCATTGACTCCAAATTGAGTTTGATACTTAGTGTTTTCCATGTTGATGTTGTCTGCGTCTATTGCTAACAAGACGCAAGTGCTTATTCTAGACTCTGAGTAGAAGAGGCAACAACATCAAGAGTCATATTTGCTTCTTATTTGCCTCTTGCATAAACTGCAGAAGACAAAATCACTTAAAGGATGATCTCCCCAACCCTGCATGTATCAAATTCAGATATGCTTAATTTTTTCCTAGTTTCCTGAAACCCCATCTACATGCTGACTTTTTTCGGGGGAAGAAATGCCAGGAATCATATAGTGAGGCGGGAATCCTATTGGTGAAGCAACTGAAGAACATTTCTCTATTGAGAAAAAAAAAGGGCCAAAGAATATGGTCTGTATTCAGTACATAGTTCACAGTTCTGTTTGACAGTATATGTCAGAGGCCCTTGACTTTTGTAGAAAATCTCATTTTTGGAGAAACAAAATTCAATGTTCGGGATTCTAAAGTTTGCTGGCAAGACTTTGAGATAAGGTAGAACTGTAAGTAGTGAGATCTAAGATTAATCACTGACTTTTACCTCTCGTCTTTGTGCCTTGGGCATGGCAGATACTTCGGGGGAACTAAAGGGAGATAATAGATGGACTGCTTTGGGTTAGATGGAGAGACAGGGAGAACAAGCTGGTTTGTCCTCCGGGACTGTTCTGTTTCTCCTACCTCCCCCTTCCTTATCAAGTGCTGTTTTTCTTTGCTTGGTGGAGTGTGTTGTTGGACCAAAGTGTGTATGTCGGCACCCCTGCTGAAGGATGACGAGTGGGAGAAGGAATTTCTTGCTAATAAAAGAGTATCTGAAACAAGTTTGGTTTTTGACTCTCACATTTCTGTGGGAGATGGGGTCTAATTGTTAAGAGCTGGGCTAGGAATAGTGACCTGTTAGTAATCCCAGCACTTGGGAGGCAAAGGCAGGAGGATTGCTGTAAGATCAAGGCCAGCCTGGGCTACGGGTGTAGCCACCAACAGCAAGTGTGATGATGTAAGCATTTAACCGCAGTGTAGCCGGGCTTTGGCTACTTTGTGCATTCTTCTTTCTTCCATCCTTTCAACCCCATAACACTAGATAAGGGAGAAGAAAGGATAGAGAGGAAAGAAGAGAGACCCTTGAATAAAGTCAGGGGTCAGAAGGAGTGGTGTTGTGTTAGACTGCGTCCTGCTGGCTGGGAACACTGAGTTCTTGGGGCAGGTTTGATCTTTGCTATCAGGATATCTAATTTCTTATTGTTTCTTTCTTTGTGCAGGACTACTTTTTAACAAACCATGACCAACAACAATCAACAACCCACCCTGCCTTCTGGGGGGGCCCTAGCATTTTTATACCCTCTGAAAAGTTCCCAGAATTCCAAACATCACAGCAATCGCAGAAACTATCTGCAGCTGGCAAAATCACGCCCCTGCTAGAGCACGAGGCAAATCACAGCCAGCTGCTGCAAACCATCTGAAGCAGCCCCATCTTTACTTCCATCCCACACCTGGAATTAAAATAAAAACACATTCTTATAATATTTCTGTGTTTTTTTTTTTAAAGAAACCAAAATTCCCACTAGACCCCAGTCCTTGAAAGACAGATGTAAGGGGCTCATGAGCAGCCTCAGCTACTTAGCAAGGTGGAAGCTAGTCTGGGCCACAAAAACTAAAGAAAAAAAAAATACCAAACACACAAAACAAAACAAGGATAGAATTTTGATTTAGGCAACTAGGCAAGGGAAAAGGGGAGACACTTTAGCAATCTAACATGAAATGGAGACTATTAATGATTAACATTATAATATATAGTATGTTTCAAAGATATGTATTTTAACAGTCCTTTAAAAATGAAGGCTGGGTGGTGGTGGTGCACACCTTTAATCCTAGCACACCAGAGGCAGAGGCAGACAGATCTCTGTGTGTTTGAGGCCAGCCTGATCTGCAGAGAGTGTTCCAGGACAGCCAGGGCAAATACAGAGAAACACTGTCTCCAAAAACCATAAGATAAAAGGAAGGATGAAGCAGGGCAACATGGGCATGGTGGACAGCAGGCGTGGGTTCTGGGACAATCGAGATGGCTTTTGCATCCGGAGCCTCAGATGAGAGGCACTCACGGCTGTGGCCCACGCCCTTCCAAGATTTCTCCTCGACTCCAGTGGGGAGAGCAGTGTCTGTTCTTAGGTTGCTGTTTCTGAGGGCTTTTCAGGAAATTAATTAGTGTCCTTTTCCAACTAGGAAGAAGATTCCCTCCTTGATATCTGTAAGGAAATTGTGGAGCGATGGTCACAAACACAGGATGTTGCCACCAATGTAAAAAAAGAAGGTAGAGTTGGCCTTACTTTTAAAAAACCACTTCTGTGTGTGCCTGTGCGTGGGTGTGTGTTTGGTGTGAGGGTCAGGACAGCTTTGAGGATTTGGATCTGTCTTTCCACCTTGAGGAAATTCAGGTCATGAAGATATCAGAGGGCCTCTACTCACTGAGCCACCATGCTGGTCTCAGAGTCGCTGGTCCAACCTCCGGGGCCTTTTCCTGTCAGCTGTTAAGGGGCAAGGATGTCCTTTTCTCCTTTGGATATTCACAGTACCAGAGGCTCTCTTTAAAGTTTTAGCAATCAGGATTTCCTTTTACCGTTTCTCTTTCCAATCCGCCCTGACCATCTCGATTCATTTCTTTTCTTTTTTTTTTCTTTTTATTTCTTTTTTTTTTTTTGGAAACAAACTTTGTTTGTACAGCCCAGGCTCGCCTGAACTCTTTCTGTGGCTCCTGCTTGCCTTGATTCTCTGATCCTCTTGACTCAGCCTCCTGACTACAAGTGTGTACCATCATACCTGCATCATTTGGGATTTCACTTTTCCTCCCATCCTATGCCCTTAGTAGATTCGCATCACATATATAGGGTCAGCTATAGACCTCTGAACTCAGGTGGACAGGCTTGAAGGCGGGAGCCTTCACCCGCTGAGCCATGCCGCTGGCCCATCCACCATTCTCATATTTTCATTACGTAACATAAATTATGGTTGAGTTTCTGCTCTATTTGGCTGAATCTTTCACCTGTGGAAATGAAAGAGGAATGGACTCACGCTCATGGAGATGGTAAATTAGCTACAGAGAACTCAAAACACAGAAGCCAACCTCGGAAAGAGTCTAACTTAAATTATACAGTGTTGGTCCTCAGTCTTGAGTGTACAGTGTAATCACATAATATACTTGGTTTGGGGCCCAGGTACTGGTGTTGGTTTGTTTTGCTGGAAATAAAAGCAAAGCTGGTTTGCATATATACATACATATGTACATATATATATATATATATGTATGTTTGTTAATGTGTATTTTTTTTTACTTTTAATGTATGTGTTTGTCTGTGTGTGCATGTGAGTGGAGGTGCACCGAAGCACTGGATCCCATCAAGCTGCAGTTACAAGGAACTGTGAGCCCTCTGATAGGAGGGCTGGGAACTAAACTCCAGTCCTTTGTAAGAACCACCTTAATTGAGAAGCAGGCACAGATTGTGGTACTCTTAATCTTGGAGCTGTCTCTAGCCCCAGCTATTGGTGTGGGGGTTTTTTGTTTTTGGTTTTGGTTTTTCAAGACAGAATTTCTCTGTATAGCCTTGGCTGTCCTGGAACTCACTCTGTAGACCAGGCTGGCCTCGAACTCAGAAATCCACCTGCCTCTGCCTTCCAAGTGCTGGGACTAAAGGCGTGTGCCACCACTGCCCAGCACTATTGGTGTTTTTAAAAAGTTCCTCTTGGGCTGTTGAGACAGGGCTTAGCAATGTGCTTAGTGCACAAGCCTGGTGTCCCGAGTTCCATCCTTGGAACCCCATAAAGGAGGAAACTCCCCACAGTTGTCCTTTAGACTACAGTGCACCCTCCTCCTCAATAAATAAACATAATCTAAAAATACTTTTTTAGAAGGCCTAAAGGCCAGCCTGCATAGCTTTTCCTTGACTCCTGAATGGCCAGCAAGTGTGAGCAGAGAGGTTACTACCAACACTGACCACTGGGGGGCTAGTGGTTTGGGAACTTGTTCTTTCTTACCTACTGTCCTTGTCTCTTCTGTCTGCCACACAGATAAGGTGCAGGCCATCACCACCTTGATTGAGAAGCAGGCACAGATTGTGGTGAAGCCCAGGGTGGTTTCAGAAGAAGAGAAGCAGAGGAAAGCAGCCCTGCTGGCCCAGTATGCTGACGTGACTGACGAAGAGGAATATCCTTTCCGGACGTCCCCTGAGACTCACGCTAGGAATGCTGGGTAGTCTACCCCTGAGAAGCTGCAGTCCCCCTCTGTAGCCTAGTTTGCTCTTTCAAAATGGCAGTGGCCATGGGCCTTTGTGGGTTTGAGAAATGATGTTGGAATAGTTGACATGGTATTTCTAATTCAACACATAACTGGTGTACTCCAGATAGAATAAGAACGTGCTGTGATTCCTTGCACTCGTGGGACACTGTATTAGTCACTCTTGTTTTGGCTTACAGTTTGAACTGATACCTTCCACCATGGTGGGGAAGGCACAGCGAGCCGCAGGAGCAGGCAGCAGCTGGTTACGCTGCATGCAGTCAGGAAGCAGAGAGAAATCAATGCTGCTATCAACCTGCCTTTCCTTTGATTCAGTCCAGGTCTGTAACCCAAGGAAAGGCTGCCTCCCACATTCAGGCTTAGCCCATCTAGAAACTGCCACACAGACATCCCAGAAGTTTGTGTCTGTTGTGATTCTAAATTTCATCCAGCTGACAGTCAAGATGGACTATCATAGCTACTCTTACACGTGGTATAGTAGCATACTTGCTTTCTACCAAAAATAACTTTTTCGAGACAGTCTTTTTGTATATCAGGCTGCCCTCAAACTCAAAAGGATCCACCTACTTCCTACCTTCTGTCACCAAGACTAGCATCCGTAACCACACCTGTCTTCTAAAAACAGCTTTTGAAGTATGAGTCCTCCTGAGCTCAAAACACAGATCTCTGGGCGTTTTCAGAGTTTCTGATGTAGTCTTAAGATAGGGACCATGGATGATGTGGACTTCTCGAAAGTTCCTGGAGGTTCTGAGGATTACACTGTGTGTCTGTGTGCTCATGCAGCCGAGGTGGCTTTGAACTTGCTGTAAGAATGGCTGGCCTTGAACTCCTGATCTTCCTGCTTCCATCTCCTGTGTGCTGGTGGGAGCAGTGCTGTTTCAGAATGTCTTGCCCCTGGCTTTTAGGTAACGTCAATGTGGTGATCTTTCACAGACCTCCTGACCCTTTTTTTTTTTTTAGCCTCTAAGAGGATTTTAGAGAAGCTTCAGACATTTCCCCCACGTTAAGATTTTCAGAAATGAGTCTCAGCAATGCCCCAGTCCTCACTGCATCCAGCCTGCTTCTTACCCTTGTTGATGAAATGCTTTTCAAACTTGGTTTGAGATGTGTGAAGGCCTTTTCTCCACCTGGTTTTCCTTAATGTCACTCACTGAAGCCGATGAGAAAGATGATCCGGGTGCTTCAGCAGCGAACATCGGTTCTGACAAAAGTATCCTTCTCGTTGTCCATCCCTTGAGTTTCTCCACAGTCCTCCTAGAGATCAGTTGACATTTTGCTGTCACTGCACAGGCCCCCTCTCTCCAAGGAAGTCATGTCAGTATTGGGAGCCCTATGCCTAGCACAGCCCTGGATAGCCAACTTAGCAAATACTCTACCCCAAAAAGCAACAAGAGCTACGGTAGCCTCCAACATGCTCAGGTGACTCAATTCCTGGTCTCTGTCTCCACCCCCAAGTACCTGTGATAAAAAGCATGCTCCACACCTAACAAAGGAGGTGGGATTTTGAAATTTTATTATTATTAATTATGAGGCATGGTCTTACTAGATAGTTATGGCTAGCCTGGCATGATCTATATAGATCAGGCCTGGCCTGGAACTCACAAGAGATATTCCTGCCTCTGTCTCGAGTGCTACTATTAAAGGAATGCACCACCACACCTGGCTTCTTGTTGGGTCCTTGTTGTTTTTTTGTTTTGTTTTGTTTTGTTTTGTTTTGTTTTGTTTTGTTTTGTTTTGTTTTGTTTTGTTTTGTTTTGTTTTGAGACAGGGTCTCTCTGTGTAGTCCTGGCTGTTCTAGAACTGGATACTCAATATGTAAACCAGGCTGGCCATGAACTCACAGAGATTGGCTGCCTCTGGCTCCCTGAGCAATGGGATTAAAGGTGTGGACCACCACAAAAGGCCTCACCTGGCTTGGTGGGTTGTTTTTTTTTGTTTTGTTTGAGACAGGAGTCTCTTTTAATCTAGGCTAAACTCACTTCCTGTAAGGTATGAGCCACCATACCCAACTAGAAGAATTTCTAAGAGAAAACAAATTATATTGCCTGGATCTCTGAGTTGCCTGGGAGATGTGGGAAAAGTTAAGGTTTTATCTTTATTCTCTGAACCCTTGTAATTGGAAAAAACAGAGACTAAATTCCTAAATCGGAAAATATAGGATATTGAAATATGTGTTAAGGAAGAAGATCCCACAAACAGGTCACTCTGAGATGTTTCCTAAGAAGGTAAAATTAGAACTGCCCTCTGAAGTAAGAGGTTATAGTGGGCTATCTGGGATTATCTCAGGAATTCATTCTTGGTGTGACAGACTGACAGTACGGCCTTGTGTATACTTAAGTAAGTGCTCTGCTGCTGAGCTTTTTGTCTCAGGCTGAGACTCGTACTTTATAGCCTAAAGTAGTAGAAAAAGTCATATTTTAAGACTATAGAGGAGGTTGATTGCCAGGTACTTTTTTTTAAGATTTTTTTTTTTTTTTTAGTGTTTGCCTGAATGTATGCATGTGCACTATGTGAGTGCATAATGCCCCCAGAGACGTCAGATCCCGTGGAACTTGAGTTACAGATGGTTGTGAACCACCATGTGGGTCCTGAGAATTGAACCCCAGTCCTCTGGAAGAGAAGCCATTGCTCTTAACTGCTGACCCAGCCTGATATCTTATTTTTAAAGTTTTTGGCTGTTTCCTAACTTTTGCTAAACTCATTTCATATGAGTTCAGTGCTGACAACATAACTTGGTTTTTCACTTAAACTTTAGAAAAAAGGTCACATTAACAAAAATCTAGTAAGAATAAACCTTAATTCCTTCCAGGCGTTTTCACGGTGCCAAGTGCATAAGCATCTTTCAAGCCACAGTCATCTCTTCACTGATGCATGCTAGGCTCCACAGCAGGGTTCTCCTTAGTGTTTGGAGTGAGAGATTTTTTTTTTTTAAATTTGGATTGACTTTATTTGCAACTATAAACTGTATTTTTCAGATGTCTTTGTTAATGAAATTCATTTTTATAAAATATTCCAAAGTTCAGGCTTAGTTGTCCAAATGAGATTTTTTTTTTATTTAATCCAAGGAAAATTTTAGGGCTAATTGTAACATTAGGATTTACCATTAAACCAAAGATTTTTTTTTTTTTAAATGAGTGTTTTACAAGTATGTATGTGTACTTGTGCCTAATGTCTGATACCCACAGAGGCCAGAAGAGGGCATTGGATATCCTGGAACTGGAGTTATGCATGGGAATAAGCCACTGTCTGGGATTGAACCCAGGTCCTCTGCCAGAGCAAGTGCCTATGATCCCGGAGCCATCTCTAGTTCAAACCAAAGATTGTTTTCCTGTACTAGGAATAGCTAGAGTGCATTTAGGACTCGGTGTATAGAGAAGGGGCATGCAGGCTGAGGAAGGAGCAGATGATTGCCGGTAGGACTTGAGCCTGAATCCCTTAACTCACTGGCAGCCCTGTTCCGAAACACCAATGTGGAAGATGTTCTCAATGCTCGGAAACTGGAGCGAGACTCGCTTCGGGATGAGTCCCAAAGGAAGAAGGAACAGGACAAGCTGCAGAGGGAGAAGGACAAACTAGCCAAGCAGGAACGAAAGGAGAAGGAAAAGAAGAGGACACAGAGAGGCGAACGGAAGCGATAACCTTGGCCCACTCTGCTCCGTCCACCCATGAAGTGTGTCTGTGTATTTAAGAGAACTGAGACTAATGTATTTCCCAAAATTTCCTAAGGCTTTCCCCCTTTGTTTACATGTTCAAAAGGAAAATCGCAATCACTTGTAAATGTGCCATGTTTTGGTGGTGTGGGCAATCAATTATAGTATCTTTACCAAAGATCTGGAATTAGGGTAACCTTTCTATTTTAGTACTTAACTCCTGTGCTCTTCTCTTTTAAAAAGGTCTTCCCTCATTTTGTATATTTAGCCAGTTACAGAAAGCTAACATCCTGAAGGAAACATGACCATTCCTTCTGAGTTAAAAAAAAAAAAAGTGCAAATTGCTTCTGAGGCAATATTTGCCCTAAAATATAGTGGGCTTTTGTTTTGAGACTGGGTTTCATTCTATAGCCCAGGCTGGCCTTGAAACGTTGCAGTGTCCTTTCTCAGTTTCTCAGCTTCAGGATTATGGACATAAGTCACCACACTTGGCTTGTAACTATTTTGAGGCTGAAGTAGCTAATGAAGAGCCCTACCTAGATCCAGATTTTATGACATCAGATTAGGGATGTGGAGGATGTGGAGGATGTGGAGTGTGATCTAAGAATTTTTTTTTAATGTGTCGACTTGGGCTCAGGCTATAGTTGTGTTGAGTGCCTGCTTAGCACATACAAGGCCCTGGGATTGAGCCCCAGTTTGGAAGAAAGACTTAAGCCTATGGGAAAAACAAGTATCTTTTTAAATAGAGAGCTATGTATTTTTCATGTAGTCTGTGATTTAAAGGATTTGTCAGTTTGCAGTATAAGGATATCATTTTGCTAATTTTTTTTTTTTTTTTAATCAGGAGTTCCCTTGAATTCCCTCTTGATTTTAATCTTGATTTATCCTGCAGGCATGTCCTACCTTTTGACATTGTGACATGACTTTTTAAAAAACTTGCAAAAAAAAATCATGTTTTAAAAGTTATGATTTTGTATTAGGCCGAATTTATAGTTGTCCTTGACCACAGGTTGGACACACCTGCAACATTAGTAAGACCTAATAATTCCTGGCTTAGAGAAACTGAAGGAATTACTCTCTTAGAGAAAAACACTGGAAATTTTGCTAACACAATACTTAAAAGTATATAGTTGGTGGTTAAACTTATGAAGTGAGTGAATGGAAAAACCAGGAGAGTCAACAAGGGTGAACAGAACTCTCCAAGTCTACGTCTGTCACAGCCACATCTAGTTGTAAATAAAGTCCTTCTTTACTTGACTTTGGGCAACAGGTATCAAAAGCCTCAAGAGAACAATTTCTCTGATAAGATTATTTTCTACCAGGGGTCAGAAGACTCCACTCACGGGCCAAGTTTGGCCCAGTCTTTTTTGTATGGGGCAAAAACTAAAATGCTTTTTTACATTTTTAAGAGGTTATAAAAGAAAGACATTCATGATTGAGACCATATGTGGCCTATAAAACCTAGTATTTGGAGAAAGTTTGTTGACTTTTGTATCATTAGCTACCTTTGTGCAGAAGAAAAAAAAACATGGTTAAGGAAAGGAGATATGCTGCCTCTTTGTCCTACAACCATGGCATTGCAAAAATAACCACCTTTTTCTTTTAAAAAATAAATTTATTTAAGTCAGTGTCTTCTGTCTTGTTCTTTCCCAACTATTGGTGGAAAGGTGCTTGTGGCTGGTCCCTTGGGAATGGTCTTTATTGTCTGGTCAGCCCAGTAGCCATACTCTGCAAGTAGAGTGTCTTTTCCCTTAAATATATAAATCCTTTTCAAGTTTTCTGTGAAGTAAAGATTAGCTCAGAGGATTACCTTGTTTTTTTGGCGCATAAGTAAGTTGGCTTTGAAGTTCTTTGAGGTACTAGTGGTTATGGTCCTTTATTTTGTAATAGCTGTGAGCCACAGCTCTGCAAAGTATATGACAACTTGTTTTAATTTAGTAATCCTTATTTTAGGACTTGGGTTCTCGCCTTCATTTTGGCTTCTGAAGGAGTCGAGATTATATCCTTTCCTTCAGGGTACTTGTTTCAATTTGCTAGTTTGTTTTTTGTTTCCTTTTCTTTTTTGAGATCTGGGATCTTGCATAGCCCAGGCTGCCTCCAGCTAGCTTTGTAACCTAGGCTTCCCTTGAATTCCTAATCGTCCAGCATCTGCCTCCCAACCGTTGGGATTATAGGCATGTGTCACCACATAGTTCTTTCTTCTGGGACCTTTTATGTTATAGTGTACACCTAATGCTTAAATAAAAACAATCAGCTCATTAGGCTTTGGTAAAGTTATTCACTTAACAGATGCTAATTAATTTTTTAAACCAGAAATGTGAAAGGGCAGGTTTTAAACTATCATGCCTTTTAGATTGAATTTAGGCCAAATGGGATTTAAAAAAAAAAATTATGGTAGCAGAGAGATGCTTAGCAGTTAAGAACACGTGTTCTGGCAGAGGACCCAGAGGTTTGATTCCCAGTACACACTGTGGGTCACAACTGTAACTCCAGTTCTAGGGGATCCAACCCCCTCTCCTGACCTGTTTGGGTACCAGCCATGCACATGGTGCACAAATGTTCATATACTTACTTTTAAATCTAAAAATTTTTTCCTTTTTTTTTTTTTTTTTTTTTTAAGATAGGGTTTCTCTATGTAGCCCTGGCTGTCCTGGAACTCTCCCTGTAGGCCAGGTTGGCCTTGAACTCAGAGATCTGCCTGCATTCTCATCTCTTGAGTGCTGGGATTAAAGGCATGTACTTACATGCCCAGCTAAAAATTTTTATTTTTATGTGTATGGGTGTTTTGTCTGCATGTCTATGCATGCAGTGCTATTGGAAGCCAGAAGAGGGCAACAGAATCCCTGGGACTGGAGGTTCAGGTGACATGAGCCACCATGTGGGTGCTGGGAATCAAACTAGGAACAAATTTAGCTGCTCTTAACTGCTGAGCCATCTCTCCAGCTTCCCAAATGGGATTTTAATCACAATAGTAATTTCTCCAAAACTTTATTGTAACTATTTTATCCAAATGGAAAGGGTACTGATAGAGTGACTCAAGATAATTTTCAAATACCTCCATATAAATTTGTGTCTGGTGAACGTGAATTTGTGTGGATGTGCGCATGCTGTATGGAAGGCAGGGGTTGATGTTGAGTGTCTCCCTTGATCTCTTTCCACCTAATTTAAAAAACACTTCCTTCATTCTATCTTTATGTGTGCTTACTAACATGGAGACATATACATTACTCTTTTAAGGAAAAACAACCAAAGTAAAAAACAGGGGCCAGGTTGGTTGGGTATGTAAAAATCAGAGTTTGATCTCCAGGACCTATATGCTGTTAGGAGAAACAAAGTTGTCCTCTGACCCCAGCACCCACTGTTGTTTATGTGTGTGCATGTATATACACATTTTAAAAATTAATAAAATCACCACTGCAAGCCTGAAGCCCCATATAACTAGTTACAGAACAGCTAGGAAACCAAAGAGAAAGAACCATCTATACCAGTGGTTCTCAACCTTCTAATGCTGTGGTTCTTTAATACAGTTCCTTATGAAGTGGTGAGCCCCAACCATTAAGTTATTTTCATTGTTACCTCACAACTATAATTTGCTACTGCTATGAATTGTGATGTAAATATTTTTGAAGATAGAGGGTTGCTGAAGGGGCCGTGACCCACAGGTTGAGAACCACTATAGAAAAAGACACTAATGAAGCAAAATCTTGTTTGTGACAAGATAGCCCCAGCTGGCCTTTGTTATTTAGCTGAGGCTGGCCTTCAACTTCTGATCCTCCGTCTGTCTCATTCTCTATTACAGGCGAGCCTCAAAAATTTCATCACTGACTATAGCTTTCTTTTTCTGACTATGACTTTCTGATCCTCCTGCCCTCACCCCCTCTAATGCTGGAATTACACTCACCACACGTTTTTATACAGTGCCCAGGAGCAACCCAGGGTCTCCTCCATGCTCTAAGCATTCACCCAATTGAGCTACATCCCCAGGCCACGGTTTGGTTTTCCTTAACCAACTGGTATTTCACTCGTGACCACTGTCTTGTAAAGGTCTCCCCAGAATTTTTATTCAGCAAGGGCAAGTTTCATTTCTGAAGCAGGTCAGGTGGGATCTAAGTTTACCTGAATCACAATCATCTGTCAATATTCTTATGTGTTAATAATGAAGTTTAAATCAGGAAGGCTCCTAGCTAAATGAATTTCATGTGGTTTTCGGACATAAATACAATGTTTAAAATTAACACAAATGTAAAAAAATGAAACTAAACATTTCCAACAAAGTAATTTATTTTTTTCCTGAGAGACTAAATTCAGTACAATATTTGTTTCCATAACATTCAACATGTTTTTTGTCAAACTTAACCACTTTCTATGCAGTGACTGTGGTGGGGTGGTCTATTTTATTTGACTACCCTCAATGTAATTCATTTGGTAGTTCTAAAGCATATCAGTGATCAAAATGTTTCTCCCTACAGTTACTCCTGCATTCTCAATCAGTTTCTTCCGCACATCATCTAAAGAAAATTTATGTGGTGTGATTACACTCTTTTTTTTTATACCAGGATTTCTAAAGCTAAGAAAAAAACACTAACATCAAAAACATCAGTGTTTCTAGTCAAGGATATTTCAATTAAATTTCATCAGTACATTATATTATAGTTTAACTCATGCTAGAAACTTTAAAACCCAAGATCTTCTGAGTCACATAATGCCAACATTTCATATTAATGAATAAATTATTCGGGTTCTCATACAAAGATATTAAGTGATGAAAACAGAAAAAGCCAAGCTTTCAAGTGCTTTTAAAAAAAAAATACAGAAGCAAACAAATGAACATAACTACACAAAATATACACTAACTAATTGAGAAACTAAACTAGTTAAAGGTTAACCTAAAAATACATTTTAGAACTTCGTGATACCCTCATTAAAGACAGCAAACTAAGGGTATTAAAACAAGAGTCATTATTTTAGTTACTAGGCATCGAGTCTATAAGATCCAGATAAAGGAATGTTTTATTTTGATTCAATTTAAATACTTTAAAATTGGAAATATTTAATAATTGATAGTATAATTAAAATTTAAAGAATATACACTAATGATTTGAACAGGTTTTATATTCAGTAACTTGCATGGTTTTCACACTGGCACTTTTATCACTAATTTAGGAGAATCAGATGCATTTCCCTCCATATACTTAGGCACTAAGATTTCAAATTTATAAATATGGTAGTATTTTAAATATTAAATTTACATGAATATTGGGTTTATTATCCCGGTTTTCCTTTGTTTCCTAGGTATTATCCAGTTTTGTAAGGAAAATACTTTTAAATCACAATCAAAACTTGTCTTGGTTACTAAACTGTAGCCATAATTGGGTTACAGTCACTTAGACTCATTATTTGGAATTATACTTACTAAGGCAGAACTAAATGAAACTTATCTCCTAGAAGAATTTCACATTTGCATTTACCTGCACTGAAGAATGGATTTAAGCAATTTTTAGCTGTAAGGAGATATTTAATAAAATAAACTTGCTATCTTTGACTACTCAGAACTCCTAGAATAATCAACTTTACCTTTGAGTTCACTTTAAACTGTATCTGATTCATTCCAAGCAGATTTTTAAATAGAAGTTAGACTTCATTGAAGTATTAACTTTAAATCTGAAAGAAAATTAATGGACTGAAAGTTTGACAAGTTCATTAAAAATTTTAGCACATCTTGATACATTTACTTATCAGCTTCCTTCTGCTGGCATTTCCTTAATGTTTACTTGTTTCACCTCTCTGATTCATTGGATTGCTACTATTTATGCTTTCATGGACTTTATCTTCACAGTTTACTAGATCTTGGAAAGCCTTTTCCATGTCAGCTTGGCCCGCTGTACTTGCTGTTTTTGGCAAGGTCATCTGCAGTGCACACCATAGGGTAGTGCGTGCTTTTCGAGTAGCTACACACATCTCTTTAATTGCTGTAGCAAGAGCAAAAACATCTGTAAAATAAATAGGATTATTTCTTATTATTCACTTAAATACTCCTTACATTTAAGAAGCTCAATGCTGTTGCTACCAAATGATCAAACATTATTTTTATAAAATGGCAGTAGCTAAGATAATGAAATATTTTGGTTTTTTTTTAAATAAAAACCATTTAAGTAAAAGCATTGTTACTTTATCTTTGATCTGTATAGCAATAACTATGATTTGGTAAAAAAAGACTGTATCTTAAAACAGGCATTATAATTAAATGTATAAAATTTAAAAAGAGAACAATATACTTTGGGAATAAATAATGTGGTGATCATTTCTATTTGTTCAGGTAAGTGTTAATTTTAGAAATTCAATCTTTTAATCCCAGAATCTGATTTTATTAATATTCAAAATATTATACTACTGTATCAAAAGAGTTTGAATTAATGTTTGTACCTCTGTCATCTTGGCACCTAGGCACTCCTTGTCTTTGCCGATTTGAAGCATTAACAATTTCATCCTTTCTTCGTGACTGTACAATGTGAATTGACTCCAAGTGTCTATCAAGAGCAGTAGAGATATTAGCATGAAGGGGAGAGCTTCGAAGACGTTCCATTTTGCCTAGTAAAGTCACCACCTGAGGGAAACATTTAAATTTTGATA